TGGGGGTAAGCAGCGTAATGTGGAATCCACTATGCCACCAGCTCCTCTTCCGGCCTACAGCAACCCTAAGACAGAGTAGAACTATAGGGTTTCCTGAAATGTAAAACATCCTCACCTAATTCACAATGAAAAATTCATTCATTAAAAACAGAAGCAGACACTACTGGGTTTCAAGGCTGTAACCTTTATGGTAGCAGACTGCCATGCCCTTCGCCCACAGAGAGGCTGGGAGGTGGGTTTGCATTGTGACCATTCAGTTAGCCACCCAGGGCACCAGCCATCGGGTCTCCAGGGCTCCCTTGCCCACATTGGTGGCAGGCATAATGCACCCCCTTTGGGGCTTCCGGCTCGTAGGGCTGGACAGTCATCTACGCTTAGACACAAGACCAGCTGGAGTGCCTGTCACAGGAGCCTCTTTGGAGCCGCACACCCAGAGTCTTGCTTCCTACCCAGCCACCTCTGTTCTGGGCAGTGTTTCACAGCATCCCCACCTACCCCCCAAAATACCCTGTCACTTAAAAACAGCTTTGGAAAAGCACAGCCCAGTGCTGAGCAATTAGGCATTCATGGTGCCTCCTGCTGTTGAGCGGTCATTAGTTTAATGAAGTACTATTAAAAACACATAAAAAGCTCAACCAACAAAAATAAACAAAGCAGTCACAGCAGCCAGCAGCCTAAATGTATAGCGGGGCTTGCAGCAACGTGAAGGATGTCCCACACACATTTAAGAACACAGGCGTGCTTTGGCTGGGAGCCCAGGTCTTTAATTGGCTTTCCATTTTACAATTCTCAGTGAATGGGAACAAGTGACCACACATATACCACCAATATTTCTTTCAGAATGTGGTTTTAAATTCTGACTAGGGGGAAAAAACCATATACATGAATATATATATATATATATATATATTCAGAAAAAGTGAGAAAGCGTCCCTTGGACTTTGGTCTCTTCGAGTACTGGCTGCCTAAAATGTCTAGCTTCCTTCGGAGGTGCCCAGAGTCTTGAAAAGTGGCCCCCCTACCCCCCAAAAGATGACACACAGAGTAAGTGAACGAGGTTGTTCACTGAGTCAGTTCCAACTCATAGCCACCCTGCAGCACAGGGGAGAACTGCTCTCTGTGGCTTGCAGGCCTGTACATCTTTACAGGAGGCGGCAACCTCGTCTCTTTCCCAGGGAGAAGCTGGTGTGTTTGAACCGCTGCACCACCTAAGGGGCTCTGATTTCAAGGGAAGAATAGTCAGGCAGCTGCGGCCACGCTCACAGTCAGTGTCCAGTGAGTGAGCAGCCCGGGTGCAGACACATATTCCTCTCACCCTCAGGAACCGCGGGCCTGCAGATAGATGCTCTTTCTCTAACTGATCTTGATCCTTTATCGGCAAAGATACAACTGTTCATAGAGAAACCTTTAGAATAGCCGACTAAACCAGGAGAGTGGCCCTATTGGGGGAAACAAGCCCCGTTTCCTGCTCCAGATAATAGGAGGAATATATGAATGAGGAACACAATGTTTGCTCTTAGGTAAAAGCCTGCAATCAAGGCCCTCTCAATGCTTTCCAACTGTCGAGGCTGCCAAATCCCCAAAGGACAAACAGCAGGCTCCTCTGAGCTTTACAGATGAAAGCACCCTGGAGCCGCCCAGGAAAGGCTGGGGCAGAACAGGAAGTGACAGACAGGGCTCCAAGTCACCGTTCTTCCCAGGAATGAGCACATGGGACACAGAGCCATTCTTCAGGGTAAAGACCAGGGCGCTAGCATTTGCCGGCCCCACAGCTCCTCCCCTGTGGGAGAAATAACAGGGCGGGCCTTACCTTAAGCGCTCCACATAGTTCAACGGTGTCTGCATCATCAACCACCGTAATCCGAAAATTTGGAGTCTGCAGAAGTTCTTTGAAGAGAAGACCATTCTCCATGACTTTGCTGCCTGTTTTAAAGTCGGAGAAAACAAAAATTAAGTCACCATCTCGTTTCTTAGTTATCATAACTAATTTAGCTTAAGAGCCCCAGTGGTGCCATGGTGAGGGGCTCAGATAGCTGGGTCCAACCCACGAGCTGCCCTGTGGAAGAAAGATGTATGGCAGTCCGCTTCCTTAAAAATTACTGCCTGGGAAACCCTGGGGGCAGTGCTAGCCTGTCCTATAGGGTAATCATAAGGCGACATCCACATTGACAGCAGTGGGCAAGTACTGTTTTAAGGAATAACTTTTAAACGGTTGACTATAGAAAATACATAGAAAAATAAGGGAGAAAATGTATCTGATAATCCTATCAGGAATGATCATATTAATAATTTGGTGCACATCTTTAAATTATAGCACTATTAATATAATTTCATAATGCCTTTCTCAAATCTGAGAACATACTGTAGATATGATCTTACAACTGGCTTTCCCCAAATTTTATGGCATGAATAATTCTGAGCCGCTGATGGTTTTGAGCTGCTGACCTTGCTGTTTGCATCCCAGAATGTAAGTGTTCCACCACTAGGCTCTGGTATGGCAGTTAGGGCCTGGTAATCCCCCCAGGAAGTGACCTAGCACAGTGTAATCGACTTCCCGCTGATCTGCTGTGTGAGGTTGGAGGGGAGTGCACCTGACCTGAGGCTGTGGTCTATTCCTAGATAAGTAGGTGCTAGTCTGGAGTCCACATCCGGCTCATCAACTCAGGTCCTTTAGACTTGAGCTAATGGGTTTGCCAGATTGCCCTCCGATCCTGGGAGCCATGGGCAGATAGCAGGCTCATCTGCCGGGCTGGCCTTGGATTGGACCATCTCTGCATACACTAGCCACATCTCCTGCTTCCTGGTTCAGCAGTCCTGGCAAATACATGTGTCGGGAAAAGCCTCCAGTTCAACCTCGGACCCACAGACCTAAACAGGACTAGATTTACAGGCTTCTACAAGTGTGTCAGTGTCAGCTACTTTCTGGATATCAGTGTGTGTGTGTGTGTGTGTGTGTGTGTGAGTGAGAGAGAGAGAGAGAGAGAGAGAGACTGGTTTTGCTTCTCTAGAGAACTCAGCTCACCATGTACACTCTTCTCTGGATTCCCAGTTCCACTCCGCCATCTTTCCCGCACCTCCCTGCCTTCTGACTCTCGTTTTTTGGGCAAATGTTACCCTCTTGGTCTCAAAGAATTGGTTGCTCTGAGATGCATGTTCCTCACGAGCATGGCTGTTCACTTTGTAGGCCTGACAGTGTTTGGAACCGGGTTCAGTCCCAGGTTCAAGGATGTCTAAGGGCCGGAGTCTGAGGGGTTTTCCCAGTGTCGGTCTTGGTCACACCAGCAAGCCTGGCCTCGTTCATGATCTGCAACACTAATACTGCTCTACACTTAGTCTTTCGCTCTGCCAGGGTCTGACCAGAGCCAGACACAAATGTTTGCAAACACCACTTCCTGTCACTGGGGTAGCACTGGGGATGTGACAACTGTTGGTAGTTTTCACACACATGTTTGTGTCCCGGGGCTTGGGAAATGGGCTGGAAAACAGAGCCTGGTGTAGAACATGCTCTGGTTAGTGGGTGTGAGGTGAGGCTAATCAAAGGCACCTGAAAAATTGGCAGTCAACTTCCTGCCAAGTCAACAAACATCTCCACACAGGAAAGCTGCGCTGAGAGGAGCGCACTCGGGCTCTGCCTGCCTTTAGGTCTGAGACCAGGTGACCTCAAGCTTGTCTGCACTTTACAATCACCTAGGGGGGGGCTTTCAACACAGCACAGCCCAGGCCAGGACCCAGGCCAACAACACCGCCAGCTCTGGGGCCCAGCAGCACTGGTAGTTTTTAAAGTTTTCCAGGTGATTCCAATGGACAGACATGTTTGATTGATTGATTGATTTAGATTCCTCTAGGAAAAAGCCCTGGTGGTCTAAGTAGTTGTGAACCACAAGGTCAGCAGTTGGATACCACCAGCAGCGTCTAGGGAGACAGAGTTGGCTTTCTACTCCTGTACACAGTTACAGTCTTGGAAACTCACGGGGGCAACTCTACCCTGTGTTCTAGTCGGTAGTGAGTTTGGTTTGAGCCTCGGTGCAGGGAGTCCCAGAGTGGTGCAGATGGGCGGGTAAGCACTGAACTGCTAGTTGAAAGAGTAGCCGTTCAAACCCACCCAGAGGTGTCTCAGAAAACAGGCCTGGTGATCCACTTCTGAAAGGTTGGACAGGGGGTGGGGATGGGAGTGGGGGGATCAACTTTAGTCTAGTCAGTTCCAGCCCACAGCAACCTTGCAGGGCCAACAGAATGGCCTCCCGAGTTTCCAAGGCTGTCGCCTTTACAGAAGCAGCTGCCTCGGCTTCCTCCAGAGGAGTGAACGGCTGACCTGCTCTGACCACAGTCTCGTGGGGTCTCCTTCCCACAAACATGAACAACAGCAACAAAACCCAACCCCAGTGCCATCCAGTTGCTTCCAACTCACAGTGACCTTCGACAGGGTTTCTGAGATTGTAAATCTTTACAGCAGCAGGCAGCCTCATCTCCATGGGAAACTAACACTGAAGAAAATATGACGAGGACTACATTCCCTAATTTAGAGGGAGTCTGGAAAGCTAGTATTCCATGGTAGGAAAGCCTCCACATTGGTAAGTTAGAGGTAAAGTCCAAGTACATGATCCTGCTTTAAACATCATTCCCCAGATTCTCCCTGACAGCTGTGCTGCCTTAAAGTCAGGACATGGCTGCTTTTATCTCCCTACAGAAGCATCATGGCATCCAGCCCCGCTCACACCTTCCCCCAATGCAGGTATTAGGTTTCTTCACCTGTGAGCTCAGGGACTTTACTGTAGTTACTGCTCACCTTGTGACGTATGTAACTACCGAATATGCATGTCTATGGCTACCTATAAATGTCCCAAGATAGTAAAAGGTTCTCTCTCTCCTCCCAGTTCCACATGTGACTCCTTTATTCTATTCTCTCTCCTATCTTTCCTATCCTCTATGACTTAACTATAATCTCTCTATGTTATCGCTGTACAATTACGCCTACTGGTCCTTCGGTTGTTGGAGGCTGGCTGCCTCTGACACGGCTTTCTCCCATAGCGGTTGGTGGGTTTGAACTGCTAACCTGTGGTTATCAGCCCAGTGGTTAGAAGCATCCTAAAGAGCAAGTCTCTGTGTTTGTGCCTTCGCTTCCTTGTGAGTAAAAACAGCACAGCAGGCTCAGGGCAGTTGTGAGGTTCAGTAAGCAGACACCTACGTGAGAACGTGTGTTCGTCCTAATAGCGGCATGGGTACCTTAGATTCGGCATCCCAAACATGACGACAGCTGACAGCTGCATACTGGTGTCTATAATTTGCCCTATTTTACAGACAGGGAGACAGAGGCCCAGAGAGCTTTCCTAACTTGTCCGGGGTCATACAGCTAATAGGAGAGAGAGTTAGATTAGATTCTAAGCCAAGTTCCCTGGTTCTAAAGCCCATGTTTTAAACCCCATGCTGAGCTGCCTCTTGGGCGTGGGAACAGAGGTGATAAGCAACAAGCAAGGAAGAATCACAGCTCCCGTGATCTACTCCCACAGACCAGAGAATGCTTTTCTGCAGCTTTTCCCAGAGAGGGAGCACAGTCCCAACAACCCAGGCCAGCGGGGTGTGTGTTGGGCATATGCTCCCGAACAAGCCTGGCCAGGAGGCAGGGGACTGGCCTGGGGGGCACTGGATACTGCTCTGTATTTTACATCTTCTGTAATAAGACATTTTAAAGCTTATTTCCCATTCCACAAGCGTGCCTGAGATCCACCTACGGGCCGACTTCTGCTTTTTCCGAACAGAACTGGATTGGCTCGCCTGTCGAGAAAGCCAACTTCTTCCTCCATTCTCACTGCCAGCAAGCCGATGCTGACTCACAGCAACCCTACAGGACTGCCCCTGTGAGTTTAACTCTTTACAGGAATGTCTTGCTCTGGCTGGCTAGTGGTTTTGAACTGCTGACCTTGCAGTTAGCAGCCCAAGGTGTAACCACAACTCCACCAGGGCTCCGGAATCGTGGGAGGAGGAAACAAGTTTCAATGTCTAGGTCAGCAATGAGCGCAAAGGGGGCTCTCACCACCAGGGGGCACCTCAGTTTACGATGACAGAGAAGATTGTTAACCAGATGCAGAAAGCCAGGTCATTTAAAATTTTCCTTCCTGGGAGATGTTTGACTCAACCATCCTTAGCAGTGAGCTGGTCATCAGGAAAGGAGATCTGCATAGCCACAATGCAGTGATCAAATCCAGGAACTGCTCATGTTGATCGTGGGGCGATCTCACATGCATCCCTCCTAGGCTGCCTTGACAGCAACTTCGACGCCTGGGCCCAGGAGCTCGTGCTGCAGTGAATCATCAAGTCCCGTCTCTGGGACGCTCAGTTCCTTGGCCTTCTGTTCTCTTTCACAACAGTGCGAGTTTTGAAGGGCCCTGGCCAGCAGTTTCAGAGCATAGCCTTTACCTCGGAGGTGTCTGCCTCGTGCGGTGGATGATTTCATGGGGCTCTTCTGGTCACAGCCGGTGACTCCCACCAAACCACCTTTGTGCTCCTGCTGGATCTGAGCAAGACGGTGGGAGAAGACAGGGTTCTCTCATTCCACGGAGAGTGGCTGAGCCAGCCCTGCAGCCGGTGGGGTCTCGCTGACAGCCAGAGAGGTGAGCCCGGGATGCAGTGCCTTCTTCGGACCCTGCATGCGGCTTGTCTTTCTTTGCCTGACCTCCGGTTGTTGGGACTTGCGTTGCAGCCTGTCACCTGACCTGGTTTCACAAGCTTCCGCCACTGCCTTGAAGATAAGAATTCTCCAGGCAGACGGTTGACTGTCAGGCCCCGCTCAACTACATGCGCCATTTCCCTTGGGTGGGTGGCCAATGCAGACCTCTGGGGTGTGTGCTATGGGGAGAAGGTGGCGGCTGATGTCAGAGGTGACAGAGAGGTACAGCAGTTTGGAAAAACAGGTCATTTGGGAAATACTTAACCTCCACCTTCATGAGACTAGTGCTAAGTTTCCTAGAAGAAATGATTTTTTTCCCAGTCTGATGTTTTGTCATGACTCAGGCGATGTAAGGCTATTTCAATATATATTGCCCTCATGTGTCATAAAGAGTCCTGGTCGTGCAGAGTGCTAAACGCCTGGCTGGTAGTCCAAGGTTGGTTTGAACCCACCAACTCTGTGGAAAAAACAGGTGGCAATCTGCTTCCATAAAGATTACAGCCTTGGAAACCTTTGGGTTGGGGTCAGTTCTACCTTGTCTTATAACAGCGGTTCTCAACCTGTGGGTCACGACTCCTTTGGGGGGGTGTGTGTGTCGAATGACCCTTTCACAGGGGTCGTCTGATTCATAACAGTAGCAAAGTTAGTTATGAAGTAGCAACGAAAATAGTTCTATGGTTGGGGGTCGAGGTATTAGGAAGGTTGAGAACCACTGTCTTATAGGGTCACTGTGAGCTGAAATGCAATCTGGGGGCAATGCGCTTTGAGGTGCTTGTGTTCTATCTTTTATTGTTTTATTTGATTCATGTCACTAGTGCCGATCCCAGTCCATCTGGGGTCCCTGCCATGTGCCCTTACTGCCTGCCCTCTCGACAATCACCCTCCGCGCTGCCCCAGCTGAGACTCCACCCACTCAAAGGGCTCAGCTGGCTGCAAGGAGTGGACTCCTGACTATTGTTGAGCCCATTGGAGTCTCTCTAGAATTCCACAATGGCGTCAGCCTTCCCCCAGTTTGCTAATGCTGGCCCTGGCCTTCGTGGGCAGGTCAAACTGGGGTTGGCCATGTTGGGTCCCTGTGCTGTAAGCAGGTGTCCCTATCTGGGGATGTGGGATAGTCATCACACTCAAAAGTGGGGTCTATTTCTCCGAAAGGCTTCCTTCGACTGGGTGGCCAATGACAGTGCATGGGTCAGGTCCTCCTGAGAGAAGCTCACTGTTTATCTCCTATGTTACAAATGTGGGGGGCAGTGCAAGTGATAAGGGAGAGGAGGCTGGCAAGTATCCCCTCACCCCTCTGGGCCCTGCTGCTCCCCTCACTGAGGCCTCTCCCAAGGGTGCATGGGAAGGACACTCTGTATTCTTGGGTCATTCACTCTGGACATTCCCCCTCCCAGAAAGGCCACCAACTCAAAGCCATCAAGCACCGGGCAGTCAGGGAACAGTGGAGGGCCTGTTAGGACTGTGGCCAACCGGACAGCACATGCCCTATCTACCAGGGGCAGCTATTCCTCAGCCATAGACTTCTGCTGCCCTGTAAAAGCTAATCATTCCGTTCTCTAAGCGATGCCACAAACCCGCATTTATGCATGGGTGACACTACTGGAGTTTCAAATCTTGAGATGCAATTCTAATTTCTTAAACACACTACAAAGGTCTCTTCCACTCACCTCAAAAAACACGACTGTGGGGCCAAGTGCAGACCAGCTATGACCTCTTGCTTTATTTATCCCACAGGATAATGGCTGTACTAGTCTTGGCCCCCTCAGTCGAAAGTATCAGCTAATCTGTATTAATGAGAGGGGATTTGGGAGTGAGGGGGCTCGTTTTCTCAGCAGCATTTATACAATTAGCATCCTGTAACAAAAGACTTTTGATTCAATTCAGAATAATTACCCTAATGATGTGCTCTTGGTGGGGGGGGTGAGCTCCGAGGGAAGGTGGCGATCACTATGGCAATGCGATGGGGACAGGTGTCAAGAGTCATCACAGGGCCTCTCAGTCACCAAGTACTCCAGTTTCCAGGCCCGGGGTGGTCCTGGGTTTTGTAGAGAAATATTCAACGCTGGCTACAAGCGTGTGGAAAAGGGACCCACAATGCTTACAGTGACCTTCAGCCACAAGCGCTCTCGAAGGACAGCATGCCAAGCTGGCGCCGTGTGAACTCCACCCCAGCTAGCCAAGTGCTCTAGCAAACAAGGGCGTCCTACACCACGTACTGATTACATGTACCCAGATAACTTCTGGAAGACAAGAGTCAGATGACCCCTCCACTCCTCCATTCCCTGCCCCTTATGCTCCCCCCTCTCCCCAGTGCACAAACACTGTCTCCTCCCCCACCTCTCTCTCTCTCTCTCTCTCTCTCTCTCAGAGGATGCCGCAATAAGCAGAAGCCGAGACCCACAGAGAAGGCAATGGGCAATGGACACCCCAGGTAAACAGAAGAGGGACTGGGCCGTAGCATGTGTATATTTGTTTGGCTTTACAAACCAAAAAAGGCTCATGCACACAGGTGAGCTATTCTGACAACAGCCGTGGTTAGTGACCGGCGAGAACTCCTAGCCAAAGTCTACAGGAACACAAACAGGACAGGAAAAGAAGTTTCAGGCATACAGAATGACTGAGGGACCCATCATTTCCAACCGAAGGGGAGAGATGGGTCAGTAGCGGAGGACTAACGTGTTCATGATCTTTACGGAGCAGTAAATTACAAAACCATCTCGCAGCCTGTATCAAGCCTGCAGATGGATGAGGGATTACGTGTAAAAGAAACGTGTATGCACACTGTTAGGTTGCCAAGAAGAGTCTTCTGGCTCACTTACAACTGCATTCCTTACAGCTTGACCTTTCAAAATCAGATCGCTAGGCATTTCCTCCAAGGTGGCTCAGGGCTGAACCAACAGCCTTTCAGCTGGTAGCTGTGTGTTCAAGCACTTGCACCACTTAGGGATTCATACGTGCAGGCACACACACACACACACACACACACACACACACACACACGCACGCGCGCTGTAGTACACCTAGTGTGATCGTTAGCTTTTGTGTCAACTTGGTTGGGCCACGGTCCTCAGTAGTTTGGACCTAACAAGAAATGGAAACTCCAGGTGGCAAGCAATGGTGGGGAGATTAGGGTGCAGAGGAGCCTCTTATTCAGTTCGCAGCTTGCTATCTCCTTGGAGACGGGGGGCTGCTTTGCCTTTACAAAACTCTTGGAGCACTCGCCCCTCTCCTTGCTAGCGTGTACTCTGCCTCTACCGCATGGACCTCAAGCCCAACAGTGCGCCATACTGCCTGCTGACAATGGGAGCCGTAGAGCCTAACATTTGACCGGCCAATCCTCCTTCCTGCTTTATTCTGTGTTGTACTCTTGTTTCATCCTCTGTCTCCTGGTTCACCTTCATGTTTCCCTAGCCCCAGCAGCTATGCCTATCAGGAACAGCCGCTGCTTAACACCTGACACATGTGGACTCCAACCAAACTGAACTTAATCGTATCTACCCTGTGAGCCATTCTCTTATATAAATTACACACACACACACACACACACCCCACACCCCACCCCCAGTCACTGCTTCTCTAGGGAACCTAGCCTAACGCACATTTTCCACCCCTGCCCCTGGAAGGATACTGAAGTGTATTGCTGGCAGTGTACTGCCTTAGGGGGGGGTGGGGGGGCGGGGGCGGGGAAAGGCCCGGGTGGGAGAATACAATCTTAATTCTAATATCACACCTTGTCACACAAGTTGACACTTTCACCTATGTCTCTATCACTTTTGCAAGTGTACTATGAGACACTGTTGTTTCCTTCTTCACATTATTAGCAATTCCTCTCCTCTCAGAAATATATTCTTTCTCAAAGCCAAAGCAATTCCACAACCAAAAGAACCCAGTCCCACACAGAGTCTTAAAAGTGTCCAAATCTGGGATGCAGGGTTATCCATGAACTACCGGGTGTCTGTGAAAATATAGATGGGGAGACTTTGAATCTTGTTCTGTATGAGTGGATGAAGCCAGTGAATGAATTACTACAAACAAGTTGCATGCATGTAGACCCAGTTTGCACTGGCAGAAAAAAAACCAACCTAAAATAAGAAAACAAAAATTAAAATAATGCAAAGATGGTTTTCCTTTTATCTTACTTTCCTAAATAATGATGCGTTGTCTATGTGATGAAGAATAAAGGTTTAACAAGCAAACTTGCCCTAACTTGTGGGTACGGGTGAGAATCAGGAGCAACATTTCCCTGTGCATTTGTCACTCTCAAGAGAGCCTCTCCTGCCCCTGAGCTTCCATGTGAAAACTGAGATGGAAAAAATGACCTCAGATGACATACGTGTTTGGCAAGGGTGGAGGCGAGTTCTACAGTGGTCAATCATATTACTCTTTTGCAATCGTATTCCTCTTGCAACATCTTTTTGTATACAAGGGCTTGGGAGTGCTGTCAGAGCCCTTTTGAAAAGCCAGCGGCCAGTTGGCACAGCTCTCTGGGGTCGTGATGACTAGAAACGGGCCCCGTGGCTGTGGGTCCTCTGCTTGCTTTGTGATGTGGGAGCAGCACCGCCAACCCATTATGTGAGCACAGGGCCTTTATGCCCCCAAACAGGAGGCCTGGGCTCGAGCCTGGTTCCATTTCACCTTAGCCAGGTGACTCTGGGCAGACCGTTTATGCTCCGAGCTTTGCTTTTTCTCACCTCTAAAGGTGGGAATCATTCCCACCAACTGCAGATCGCTTTGAAATCCAGTGAGGATCTGTAAGGGAAAGCTGGCTTCTGAGGCCAGAAGCACCTACCTTGGCTGGCACCTGCCGCTTCCTGGCATAAGAAGCCTCAACTTCCTAACTGGGCAGATCCAAATGCTCTCGCTGGCCTCAGAGCAGTGGTTCCCAACCTTCCTATGGCCAGGACCCTTTAAAACAGCTCCTCTTGTTGTGCTGAGCCCCCAGCCATAAAATTATTTTTGTTGCTACCTCATAACTGTTAATTTTGCTACTGTTATGATTGGGCCACCCCTGCGAAAGGGTCGTTCGCCCCCCAAAGGGTTTGCGACCTACAGGTTGAGAACCGCTGCTTCAGACTCATTTTTGTTGTTGAAACATTTTAGTGCCATAGGACGGGCTCCTTTATATCTACCGCCCACCCTACTGAAAATCCTAAGGAGCGTTCACGTTCAGGGGAACTGGAATACCAGAGACGGAAAACATCTGGGATAAACCACCCACACCTCCCACTTTGGGCGGGCACCTGGGCGCGCGTACCAATGGTGGTCTCACAGAACTTCTCCGCAGCCACCTCGTTGGCGATGTTGGCGCCCATGAGCACACTGATGTCAATGCCCATCTTCTCGCGGATGATGTCGGAAATGAGCTTCAGGCCCTCGGGGCCTTCGTCTATCCCCTAAAAAGACGCCAAGAAGTCAGTGGGGAAACGTGAGCAAATGGGAGGCTGGACATAGTGCTGCTTCAAAACGCATCTCCCATGTCGGGGAGAATACACACATGTTGCATGCTCACCAAACAGACATCCGTGTTCACTGCGCCAACCCCTCGCAGTGGGAACTAGATGATCAACACAACTGAAGGGCCCAGAGTGTGCACACATTCCCCGCCCACCTACCCCCAGGTTCCTCCTCCTCCTTCCCAGCGGGGGGCGGAGGGTGGGGGGAAATATTCCAGATGATCTCTCCATCACTCCTTTCCTCAGCCAGTCTCTCATAAGGAGCTTCCAAAAGACTGTGGAAAAGCCCATTACCTTTCAATGTCCGTGTTCCTCCGACCTTTCGAAGCCCCCTCATATTATGTCACTGTCCCACATTAGGTCACTGTGTGTGTGTTGAGCACCTGTGAATGGCATGAGAGCATGGGTGTGGTGTGTTCTTGGACTACATCATACCTCTGGAGACACCCATCTGGCTGCGTGTAGTTTCGCGTGTTTCACATGTTCCTGTGCACACTGCTGTGCAGTAACCCTCTGGGCCGGAACACGCTGGAGCAGACTCTCTAGGGCCTTCTTCATCCTCTCCCAAGCCCCGCCCTCCCCCAGCAGTCTGGTGACACTTACAGATGGCTCTTCAGCAGAATGTGTTCAAAGGCATAAAACCAAATACATAGAATTACCCAGGGAGCCAATTAGATGAAAAGTTACCAAAAAAAAAAAAAAAGGCTAATGTGTAATGAAAGAACATATGCACTATTTCATCAGGGTCTTAAAGCTGTCCCGGTGGGTGCAATACCACCAGTTTCCAACAGAGAGAAGTATCAATGACACTTTGAGACACCTGCAATTGCTCTAAAGTGACACCCAGGTATCTGTGGTTTCTATGGTAACAGTCATGGGTCCAACTAATTATTAAAACTGGTTGTTGGTGGCCTATATTCATAATAAAGGAAATGTGCATTTCAGTTAGAGGTTAGAATGATCCCCCTCCCTCATTTATGTTCCTGGCAGGTTTACGAACGTCCAGTTAAAATCCAGGTTCTGGCTATCAAAAATATAGCATCTGGGGTCTTAAAGGCTTGAAGTTAAACAAGCAGCCATCTAGCATGGAAGTAATACGCCCACATGGAAGAAGCACACCAACCTGTGTGATTATGAGGTGTTGATGGGATCAGGTATCAGGTATCAAAAGATCCAAAACAAACAATTATATCAATGTGAATGAGGGGGGTTGGAGCAGAGCCCCAAAGCCCACCTGTAGAGAATTGGACATCCCCCCACAGAAGGGTTACAAGGAAGGGACAATTCAACCAGGTGCAGTATAGCACCAACTGAACACACATCATTCCTCTAGTTGCTCAGTGCTTCCTATCCCCCAGTACCATGCCCCAGTTCTACCTTATAAATCCTGCTAGACCAGAGAACACACATTGGTACAGATAAGAGCTCTCAACACATGGAATTCAGGACAGATTAACCCCTCAGGAACAGTAGTGGGAGTAGCGATATCATGAGGGGAGGGGACTGGGTGGGGGGAGGAAGGGGGAAATCCATCACTAGGTTGGATATTCAGCCCACCCCCCAGGGGGACGAATAACAGAGATGTGGGTGAAGGGAGACAATGGACGGTGTAAGACATGAAATAACTACAATAGTATATAATTGATCAAGGATTCATGAGGATGAGAGGTGGGGAGGAAAAGAAGAACTGATACCAAGGGCTCAAATAGAGAGACAATGTTTTGGGAATGATGATGAAACATGTACAAGTGTACATAATACATTTAAAGGATGGGCTGCCATAAGATTTGTGAGAGATCCCCAATAAAATGATCAATAAATCCAGCCAGCCAGCCCAGGCTTCAGGTGCACACTTGGAGGTGGGATTGCTGTGTCTTAAACGTAAGGATGGTGAAGACGTTGCAGGAAGGACCGGGCGGTGCTTCGCTCTGTTGTACACACAGACATTGTGAGCCAGAACCCATTCGATGGCCCCTCGCACCAAAAGCAGGTGCACCTGTGATTTCTCCAGGGGTGATTTCCAGACCCTAGGCGGAGGCTGCTGACTGGGAGGTTTTTTCTGACCAGGAGGCTCAACAGGAGGTGCCTACCCTCTCATTACTGCAACTGCTCAGCTGCATTGAGAGAAAGCAGCTCCCTCCTAAATCTAGCCTCGCAGGAGATAGGCTTCTGATCACCTTACAAGCATCTAAGAGCAACAAACAGACAAACCCCCCTCAAATCCATGCTACAGCTTCCCCCTTCAGCTCCACACCACGGTCAGAGGAAAGCAAGGGAAACAATATCTTTCCCCTGGTGTGAGTGTTGGGGGACGTGGTTCCTCCCCCGAGTCACCTTGATGAGGGTGATTCCCAGCGCCTTCTTAGGCACCCTGCCGGTGATCTCATCGCAGATCCTGTGAATGAACTGGTGAGGGATGACAAACACCAGCAGGTCTGCATCCTGCACGGCCTCCTTGAGATTTGGGACGGCAACCTGCAACCAAGGGAAGAGTCAAGGGTTTACTTTTAGATCACAACCACCACGAACCAAACAAAATAAAAGACTCGGAACCCACTACCGTCACGGAGATTCTTACCCGTAGCCAGCCCATGTGCTGGAGAGTAGACCTGTGCTCTGTGCGGGGTTCAAGGCTGTCATCTCATAGAAGCAGATCACCAGGCCTTTGCCCAAAGCACTGCCGGGGGGTTTGAACCACCAACCTCTAAGCTAGTAGTTGAACATAAACCACTTGTGCTACCCAGAGGCCCAATATCACAATGTTTATTTATCACGGGGCCTGGAGCCAATGGAGCACCTGGGCAGGGGAGCGGCCCTCTCCTGCCATCACTCTTGTTTCTACTCTGTGTGGACTGCTATTGTTGTTTCCCCTTAGTCCATTTCTCCCCGCAGAGGTGGCCTTCCAAGGACAGTCCCCTGTGTGCTGGTGGCCACCTGGCTTCAGCCAATGGGGGGTACTGCCAGGAGGTCGGAGAGGGGACAAGAAGGCAGGCAAGGGCGGGCCACTCCTGCCAAGGCTTGGCATCATTCTACATACTCCTCCGGTTGGGTCACACCTCTAAGCTCTCTCCTGGCTGGTTTGGTAACACGGTCCCGTCCTCTTTGCCCTTTCAGAGGTGGTAATAGCTTTCTGCAGCTGCTAATCTCTGCACATTTCTCCAGTCCCTGTCGACTGCAATAGACCCTGTGTGTGTACACACACCCACACACACCCACACCCACACCTACCACCACCACCACCACACCAAACCAAACCCACTCAGTCAATTCTGACTCCTGGCAACCCTGCGTGTCTCAGAGTTAGAACTGGGCTCCAGATGATGTTCCCTGGCTGTATCCAATGGAGGTATAGATCACCAGGTCTTTTTTCTACGGCACCACTAGAAGATGGACTCAAACCACCAACCTTTAGGATAAAGCCAACCCAACAGGGGAAGTGGAGGAACCTATAAGGCCTTGTGGCTATATTTTAAGCCAAGTGTTCACCTGAAAACCGCCCTAAATGGATTTTTAGTCTCATGAACAAAAACACTATATTAGCTTAACTGGTTTGAATGGCAATATAAGAAGCCATTGCCCCCAAAAGATCAGGTCTAAAACGAGCACTTTATATCCACGAAGGCAGGAGGGAACCTGCTTTCCTCTGCAGAGGGGGTGCTCCAGGTTGTTAATCTAGAGTGAGTAGCCCCAGCTGACATGGATTTATAGCTATTCCCCAAAACTCACCTGCGTTTAATCTTTGTCAACTTGAACCTGTGTGAAAGGGTAGGGGTGCAGACCAACCTAGCCATCAGGTCCCAGCCTGATGATGCCTCCATAGGGGTGTGGCCTTTCAATAAGAGCAATAGTGAGACCTTCTCTCTCTTGCTTTTTGCCTTCCTCCTCGCTGGGACCCTGCATCTGCCTCCAGAGGCTACCCTACATGGCCACCATGTCCTGCAGAGCTGTTAGCACCCTGCCATGTTTCCTCTGACCCTGGATCCACATGAGTGGGCATCCAGTGCGTGTGATCTCCCGACATGCCGCTTCACCTTTCACTGGCTTGGAGCTACATGCGTCTGACGAGGGCTGCAGCTAGCATTGGGCTGTGGACTTGAGTTGGACTGGGCTAGGATGCCTTCTGGATATAAAGGTCTTTCTTATACACAGCATTCGCCTCCCATGCTAACCCACACACCCTGTTGTGCCTAATGAGCAAAGTTTATGGTGCTCATTTGATCCTTGCTTTCCCCAGGCAACTTACGAACCCCCATTCCTCATTTCCCCTTGGTTCCTAGCCAGGGTCCCTACTCCCCTTCTTATACATAACCTAGCAGCTTCAATTTTTAATCTTACTGTATCTCCTCTTTCCTACCCAACACACACACACACACACACACACACACACACACACACACACCCTTCTTTTCAGTGTATCTCTCACTGTGGTGAAATGGAAGAGACCAAAGCAAAGGAGAAAAGATGTGCATTCGAGTCCTACATCTGTAACTGACCATCGGTGTGACGTTGGCTAAGCCACCGTCAGTCTCCCTGGATATGGAATAGGGATACAAATCCCCCTTCCTACCTGGCTGCTTCACAGAGCTGCTGCAAAAGCATTAACGTGGCAGAGCTTTCAAAATAACAAAGACGCAAATGAATACAAGCCATTATTCATCAAACAAATCTACCTGACACCTCTAAATCCCTCCCGTTTATAAAGTTGGCCTATCCCCTCTCTTTGTTTAAAAACCTTCTCCCAAGAAAGATGAACAACATTCTCCAGGAAGCTAGCAGCTGCTGGGGCTTCCTCCTGCCCCTTCCAGTTCCCTCCTTCAGCGAATCAGAAAGGCTTGCGTTTGGTAAGGAAGGGTGTGAAGGGTGTGAAGGGTCTCCTAGAAGGTCTGACCTGGGCTCACAGGCATGTGCGCGGCATCCTCCCGTTTTTCTTGGCAAAATACTTCAGGCTTAACTCAAAAAAGCCATGTGTAATCTGAGCTCCATGTGTACCGTGCACATGGTCCAATCGCAGAGCATTCTCGGGGTTTCTCCATGATGATGAGGGAGGACGTTGGGAGTCCTCCAGAGAACATTCCTCTTCTCCCATACTAGCAAAGCAAGATCTCTAAGCGGATTTCCATCTTCCAGAATAAAAGCGTTGGCTAAACTACTAGCCAATCGTTCCCTCCAAAGCAGTCTGCGGCTTTGGAGATGCAGACCCATTTCACAGTAAAACCTCTCTGAAGGCGTGCGCCTGTAAAGATCCTGATACGTCATAAGGCTTGCCTTTCAATGGCAGCAGGCAGGGAAACTGACTAAATCAGAACAAAGTGGACGTGTTGTCAGGAGAGACCGGACTCTAGAGAAGGACATCATGCTTGGTAAAGTCGAGGGGCAGTGACAAAAAGGGAGACCGTCCACAAGATGGAGTGGCACAGTGGCTGCAACAATGGGCTCAAACCTACTATGAGGGTCGCTTCTCAGCCCTTCGGCTAAGATCAAGTGAAGAAACATAACCACGGCTGTGAGGCAGTGCAGGACCTGGCAGTGCTGTACACAGGGCCGCTGTGTGTCAGAACAGGCTTGATGGCATCTAACAAAAACAAAAGGTGGCCTCCTGCCTAGACTTGCAGTTAAAAAAACACAACAGTAACAAATTCCAGTTATCTAATCTAAAACTAGCCTGGTAAGCTCTGTGAGGACAAGAGTGAGGACTCTTTTAAAGTCTCTGGATTTGTTTTCACTGTGCAAAGCCTGGGCAAAGAAGTAAGCTTTTACACACGGCCAACGTCTCACCTGCAAGGTCTCAGATCCCATTGTTGTAGATATTGTTGCAGGCTTACGACCTCACCCTCCTAAAATGCTCTTCAGTGGCCTTTAAAGCCAACAGACATAAAAAAAAGTTCCCCATATTCATGTATAACTACCAAGAGGCTCTTTGGATCAAATGTGGAAAACGTTCTTTTTCAAATTAAGGTAGGAAATAAAGAAGTGCTCACAATCCCAGCACAGGATAAAACTACTGTCCATGTTTTAGCATATTTCCTTCCGGGTCTTTTTGAGCCTCTGGCAATAACTGGAACTCTTTTATAGAATGGACTTGAAATCAGACCTCCATGTTAGTTTGTTTATTTTAAACATATTATTACAGCATGGGAACGTTCCTATAACCCACCTGAATCCCTCACCTCTCCATATTCCTATTCTTTCCAACACCACACTGACATTGGAGAAATACCAATAGTCTAATGAAAAGATACTCAGGCTGACCCTGGTCTCACCTGATCTCTTAGGGACATTCAAATGATGTCTAGCTCAGGTCTGAGACCCCCTGAGGAAGCAGTTTTGGTGAGTGTGGGGTGGGTTATCCTTGGTCTGGCTGCTGTGGGGCACCTTGGCCTGGCTCTTTGATCAATCATAGTCCTGGACACTGTGGCCTGGCTCTATGACCATATATAGGCCTGGACGCCAAGGCTGCTCGTGTGCATTCGCTGGGGAGTGATGGCTCTGATGAAACAGTATGTAAGTGAAATGCAGAAGGAAGAGGTGCACTTGACACAGTTCCAGTTCCAGTGGTCATCGCATTGATTCTAACTCCTGGGGGCTCATGGGCGTCTGAGGATAGTGCTGTGCTCCAGAGGGTACTCATAGGACTTTCTGGAAGTAGACTGTTAGCCGTTTTTCTCCCCATCACACCTCAGAGTGGACTCACCATCAAACTTCAGTTAGCAGCTGAGCACATGAACTATTTGCGCCACACAGGGACTCCTGTTCATTTACTAACAAAAACCCACACCGGCTGCCATGCGGTAGATTCCGTCGTGTGACAGCCCCATGGGACAGTGCAGCACTGCATCTTAAGAGCAGATCCAGGGCCTCTCTTAGGTGGAACAGCCGGAGGGGTTTGAACCACCAACCTTTAGACTGGTAGCAGAGTGTAACTATTTGCTCCATGCAGGCAGCTTCACACAGTCCACAGGGGAAGGTAAAGCGGAGTGGGATGGACATGATAATGAAGTGTGTAGTCCACAGAAGGAGAGGAGCAACCAGCTCTGACAGAAATGAGAAAGGTGAAGCAGCTCAGGGGGATTTCTATGCCGAGGACAGACGGAGGTGGTCCTACTAGAACTTTGGTTGTAGTAGCAATAGCTGCTTGTTTCAATCTTCCCACCTGCTATTTGGACAACGGAACTTCCAAGCCCACGAGCCTATAGCGCCCTGCTCCCCTGACCAACCACGTGAAGAATGACTTGGGGCGTGGTGGCTGGTCCCACCTCAGGGACAGAGGAGGAAGCCACCTTCCTCTTGAAGGAAGAGACTTAGCAGCTTCTGGAACGAGCCCAACCCAACCAAAGGAAACTCACTGCCACCGAGCCGATGTCAACTCATAGTGACCCCAGAGGGCAGGGTCAAACTGCCCTGTGGGATTTTGAGACTATAACTCTGTGGGAGTAGAAAGCCCGATCTTTCTCCCAGGGAATGGCTGGTGGTTTCGAACTGTTTATCTTGCGGATCGCAGGCCAACTAGTAACCACTAGCCACCAGAGGAATGAGCTCACCAGGATTCAAATCCCAATTCTACTCCCTGGCTATGTGACCCTGGGAAAACCCATGACCCCCTCCCCCCCCTTGCTTTCCTCACCTACACAATGCTAGCATTGGCCTGCCCAGCTTATGGCGAGAGCGGCCACTGGAGGCTAATGAGTTCTTTCAGGAGCCTGAGCTTCTATTAAGGGTCAAGGAAAAGTCTGGACGCAGAGAGAGTAGTGACGGTTGAGCAACAAGATGAATGTAATTGGTGTGGCACAGAACTGTGAATGGGGTGGGCGGGGGATGCTGACATGACAGACGTTGTTACATAATTAGTGACTTTTATTTTCACTACAGCAGATGGGCAGCGAAAACGAGGGCGACCTGGATGCTGGACGCTGGAACGTCAGAGCGGTTGTGCGGGCGAGGCAGCAGCCGGCAGGGCTTCCTTCGGCTGTGCGTGGGGGTTGCTGTACGTTGGATCGACCGCGCCTACCCACATTTTTACCACAGTCATTACAGAAAGAAGCGAGCGAGCAAGCCATGCCCTCCGGGGGGAAATCATCTTTCGTGAGCAAGGGACACGGCACCTCCCAACGCCCACGTGCTCACTGGCTGACAGGTTGTCTCCCTTGCTTAGCTCCTCCGAGGAAGCAGCAGGTCTCCTTCCTCCATCACCGGTCCCGGGCACCGTGCTAGGCACACACAGCACGCACGGGGCGGGGTTTGACAAAACAGTGCACACCGCTGAGGCTTTCGTTAGCTAAGGCGTTCTGTTGCTCGGCCTAAAGGAATCAGGCGGACACGATGGTCCGGGTGTCAACAGACTATTACGGAAAAAACACCACGGATATTCATTCATCAGCTCCAATCAGGCAGGGGGCGGGTCCGCCCTTCTCATGTCTACTCGCCTCCCTTGCTCCTCCCCCAGGTTCCTGGACAGGGCCGGGTCAGAGCCGCTATGTCTCCCTCCTAGACTTAATATGCTCTAACGGGTCTTCTGACAGTTTCCAATTTCCTCATGTCTCCGTGCATAATTTAGGCCGTGGGGAGGATTCTTTTTTTAATTAAAAGATCATTTTATTGGGAGTTCTTACAACTCTTATTACAATCCGTACATCAATGATATCAGGCATGCTTGTACATATGTTGCCATTATTCTTTTCTAGACATTTACTTTCTATTGAACCCTTGATACCAGCTCCTCTTCTCTCCCCGCCCACCCCCGTGACCCCTTGTTAGATTATAAATTATTGTTATTTTCATATCTCATACCAACCACTGTCTCCCTTCCCCCAGGGTTTCTGTTGTTCTGCCCCCTGGAGGGGGGGTGTGTATTTATGTGCCGATCATTGTGCAATCGGTTCCCCCTTCCTCCTATCCTCTCCTCCCATCCCCCCTACCCTTCTGGTATCGCCATTCCCATTTCTGTTCCTGGATTCTGGGTGTCCTGGGCTCTTATCTCTTACCCGTACCTGTGCACAAGCTCTGGTCTAGTCCGAAGTGAGAAGCAGCACTGGGGTCATGGTAGTGGGGGGTGAGGATGCCTCAAGGAACCAGAGGAGTTTTGTGGCAAGGATTTTCCCCACACCCAGTGCCGCAGCTGTCCCTGAGGGTTGATCAAAGGGGCGGGCACTTCAAGGGGCATTGGAAGCCACGGAGGCCCAGTGGCAGCAGCCAAGGGCAAGGTTGTGAGTTCCAGCCTCCAAGTGGATGTTGCTCTGAACACCAGACCCATTTTAAGAGTCAGAATAACCAATTAACCCAACCCACAACTTGTAACAGGGGAAAGGGATCGGAGAGGCCCCACCCCGCCAAGTCCCAAGCTCTGCCTTACCCGTGGCATCTCAGAAGATACGCCTCTCCGCCCCCCCAAAGTCTTACCACATTCTCGGGCAGCTTGTGTCCGGGGAGATATTTAACGTTCTCATGGTCATTATTGATGATGTCCGTCAGTTTCCTCCCATCAACCGTTTCTTCAAAGACCCACATCTTGACAGTGGAGGCAAACTTCTGGAGTTTCTTGACGTTATTGCCTATTATTTTTGCGACAGCTGAGCCCCTGCACAAGGAACCATGAGATGGAGAGAGAGAGAGAGAGAGAAATAACCACAATTAAGCGTACTTGAGCCAAAGAGAAAAAGCATTAGAGGAACATTCCAAAGACTCTCCTTCTGACTGTGCCTCAAACACTGTATTTACTCCAGATGTGCTGTGTCAGGATCTGGCCCCTTGATTCTTGAGTTCTTTTCATCCGGAATGACCAAGCTCTGGGATCAGGAAAGGCCCGATATTTGGTATTAGGTCAGAAAGCGCCACACCGCCGCGCTCCCTTGCCATTGCTGAGGGCTGCGGCAGTTGAGAGGGAGAACTCTCACTTCTGTGCAGAAGATCAGGCAGTCTGCGCGGCCACTGCTGCCTGTCAGCAATGGCTTGGGCGTTACTGTGAAGTTGACCGGGTGGCTCTCCCAGACTAAGGCACGCCGGGAAGAAGCCTGGAAATGGCATGTGCTTCTAAAAGCCTGCCAGTGAGAGCCTTACAGAACACCCTGAGGGGAGCCCTTGCTAACAACATCTTCAACTGGCAATGTGTGTGTGGTGGTGGTAGGGGGGGGGGGGGGATGAGCTGATACCAAGGGCTCAAGTAGAAAAAAACTGTTTTGTAAATGATGATGGCAACAAATATACAAATGTGCTTGACACTATGGATGAATGGATGGGTGGATTGTGATAAGAGCTATAAGAGCCCCCAATAAAATGGTTTTTAAAAAGAAAAGAATCCGTCTATGTTGCAGTGGCTTAAAGATGACACCAGGAGAGTAAGCAAAGTTTCCGATCCATTAGGGAGGTTAAGGGTGGCTACTGTAAAACGGACGGTGTTCTGATGAACTGCAACTCAGACTGAGCTCATCAGAGGAGCCAAGAACCTGGGAGAAGCCGGGAGGAGACGGAGAGGAGGGGCATTTACCTCCCCCATCTCCCATCCCTGTGGCACCGGGTGGCTGACAGGCCCACGCTCCCTTTTCTCTGCGTCTCTATCCACAGATGTTGATCAGTAACAAGCTTGTCGCGGAGGGAGGATGAACTCTAGCCCACTACTGCCTGTCCCTTGGACAGTGTCATGGTCCTGCCTATCATGACTGCGCCAGGGGTGTTTGGTGGGCGTGCCCACTCACAGAATTCCCGCTCAGGTAAGTGGCCCGTGGGCCAGGGCACCCTGACCTGAGCTGGGCCATCTCCCCCAGGCCTTTGAAAGGAGATATCACTTGGCTCTTATTAGACAACTTTCCTGTTGGGAAGAGCAAACGAGAGCCCGTGGTGGGGGGCACACTGCATGCTCACGTGTTAGAGCTCCAGGATGGTTTCTGGCGGGGTAGAGGGGGTGGTCCCTGTGAGGAGAGGGTGCACTGACACAGGGGAGCATAGGGAGACAGGATCCTCGCTGCCTAGTCCTAGGCAGTCCCAGCGCCTCCCAGCTGGTGCACACACCTGTGTGCTCTGACAACCAGCAAAGGACAAACAGAGCAAACAGCTCAAACTCAAACTCACTGCTGGCCAGTCGATGCCAACGCGCAGCGGCCCTACAGGACAGGGTAGAACCGCCCCTGTGGGTTTCGGAGACTAGTTCTTGACGGGAGTAGAAAAACCTCTTTTTCCTGCTGGGGAGAGGCTAGTGGTTTCAAACTGCAGACCTGGCGTAACCCACTACGCCAACAGGGCTAGTCACTTCCCTTTCCCTCAGACTGAAAGAAGAGCGAGGCGACGCAGTGGCGCTCAACTTGAGCCGGGTATCCGAATGTGGTGTTGCCCTGTCCCTGTGGTTCAGCGGTTCTCAACCTTCCTTATGCCACGACCCTTTCATACAGTGCCTCCTGTGACCCCCCAACCATAACATTATTTTCGTGGCTACATCACAACTCTAATTTTGCTACTGTAATGACCCACAGGTTGAGAACGTGGGCTGTAATGACCCTGTGGGACAGAGCAGACCTGCCCCACCGGCTTCCGAGGCGGCAGGTCCCAGGCCTTTCCTCCCAGAGCTGCCGCGTGGGGCCAATTACTGACCTTCGGGTCGCAGCCAAGACTTACCCACTTGTGCCCCAGAATGCCTCCGCATTAGAATGACTTGCAGGGATTTTTAAAAATCCTGAGTCCTGGACTGCAGCCCACATCTCTTGGGTGGGGCCAGGCTGTGGCTTTTAAAGCTGTCCAGTTCCAACCAGGTGTTGTCAGGCTGATTCTGAGTCCTGGTGACCCCATCCATGTCAGAGCAGAGCCGTGCTCTGCAGGGCTTTCAGTAGCTGTTTTTTTCCAAAGTAGACTGCCACCGGGCCCGTCTTCCAAGGAGACCCCTGGACGAACCTGACCCCCCAAGTTGGGAGCTGAGCCCATTAACCATTTACACCTCCAGGTGACAGAGTTCCCTGGGTGAGTCCGATGTGCAGCCATGGTTGAGAACCCCTGGTGAGTACAATCAAGTGGGAATGTCCTCCGCCCTCACCAAGGAACAGTTATGGACGGACGGGAGGGCTCTGTGGCCTTATCTGGGAAATTCTTATTCTGTGCTGGCAGGAGCGTTAATGAGCTTAAACACCCATCCATCCAATTCGCCTCCTGACTCTGTAGAAAAGCAGCCTGACGTCTCATCACCACTATCACCGTCACTCTAATCTTGGAAACAGGGGCTCACCTGCTCTCCCAGGCTCCCAGCCTGCCCTGGCATCAAACAACATACACAAGGTCAAAGAGAACAACTGTGATGCTGGTGGAGGAAGCCCGGAATGAAGGGGGTCCTGAGATGAAGGGAACCCAAGTCGGGCAAATAGAGAACGAAAAGAAGTCGGAGCCTAAAGGCCTCTCCTCTGGACCTTACTGGGATACCCTGGACGTGTGCTGGAAGGGAAATTCCAGTTACATTATTCGCTCACATCAGGACCTTCTTCTGCCTCCTCCCCGCTTTCATCAGGTATTTATCTCAGTCATCACACATTTCTGAGTACCTACTATGCAGTAAGGAGGAGCCCTGAGGGTGTCGTGGTTCCACACTGGGCTGCAATCTACAAGGTTGGCCGTTCGAAACCACCAGCTACTCCACGGGAGAAAGATAGGACTTTCTACTCCTGTAAAGAGTTGCAGTCTCAGAAACTCACAGGGGCAGCTTTACCTTGTCCTGTAGGGTTGCTAGGAGTAGGCATCAACCTGATGTCAGTGTGCTTGGTTTGGGGATTTTTCGACTATGGAACAAAGGAGCTCTGGTAGTGCAGTGGTTAAACCCAAAGGCTGGTGGTCAGAGCTCAACCAGAAAAAGCACTCAGGGAGAAAGACCTGGTGCTCTCTTCTTGTAAAGGTTCTTCTATCACCATCCAGTTGATTCTGATTCATACCAACCCTACAGATAGGAGAGAATGGCTCTGGTGGCTTTCTGGGACTGTAACTCTTTACAGGAATAGAAAGGCTCATCTTTCTTTGCTGGAGCAGCTGGTGGACTTGAACTGCTGACCTTGTGGTAACCCAATGCATGACACGATGTGTGTTAGTCGGGATGGACTAGAGAAACAAATTCATAGACCCTCAGATGTGTACAAGAAAGAACTTTATATACAAGAGCAATTGAGTAAACATCCCAGCCCAGTCCATATTAGCCCATATGTCTGATACCAATCTATAAAGTCCTCTTCAGACTCACGA